TTTGCGGGATAGGCGGGAACCCGCGACTTCCCGCATAGAAAAGTTAATCCCGCGAGATCCCGACGAGATTCATAAAAAATGAGCGACATGGGATATCTAAGATCACGTGTTGGAACTCTTATTTCAACGAATACACTTATGTCAACAACACGTGATAAAGATGTTGCTCGTCAATTTATAGCTGGTGCTGAAACTGGTGTTATATTTGAAATAAATACTAAAACAGCCAATAATGATAATATTCATCCATTTGCAAATATTTCTCAATTCAGCTCATTTGAACAGGAAGAAGAAATTTTATTCTTTGTTGGTACAGTTTTTCGTATTGATTCTGTTGAAAAAGAATACGATTCAATATGGATTATTAAACTTACTTTTGATAATGAAACGATTGAACATATGGAACAGTTAAGAAATGCCGTTCAACGACATTTTACTAATCGAATATCTTTGGATCCTATGTTTTCAAAAGACAATAATTTTAACCTAATAAGAAAATACTACACAACATTAACAAATAAAAGATTCAATATTAATGATTTCATTAAATATGCAGCAGTTATAAATATAAATTATCTAATCGAAAATGCGAGCAATTACGAAAAACTTAACGAATATTATAAAGAGTTTCTATTGAATGAAAGTCTTATGGACGAGGCGAAAATTATTGTCTTAAATATAATTATTGGTTATAATTATTTCCATCTTTTTGAATATGATGATGCTTTACATCACTATGCTGTTGCTTATTCATTATTACCTGACACCACGCTATTAACAAGTGAACTTTTCAATCATATTGGTGATGTATGGACTGCAATGAATAATTTTCAAAGTGCATTAGTATGTTATCAAAAAGCATTACAAATTTTTAATAAATTCGGTCCTAGGCCACGTGATATCGCTAACATGTGTAGAAAAATATCTGATCTATGTCGAACACATAATAATTCCGATCTGGCCATTCGGTATCAACACGAAGCAAATCAACTTGATCAACATTTCGGCATGAGAACAGACTTAGATGATGAAAAACAGTTTCAATACTATCAAAATCAATTGAATACTGATTTTCATCTTGTACCAGATGAACGAGCTCACCTCCTGTATCACATCGGTAGGTACTTCCTAAAGAAAGGTGATTATTCGCAAGCGTTGGAAAAACTACTACAGGCAAAGGAATTGTACGAAAAGCTTCTACATCCATCTCGTTTTGCTATACGCAGATTGGCAACAACGTTTGAAAGTCTCGCATTAACTTATTTCGGTTTAAAGGATAATTTCAACGCATTGGTTATGCTCAAAAGAGCTCTTGATCAACACGCAAATTATCCATATTACTAGTTTTCTCGATTTCAATGTACTAATATCAAAATTGGAACTTTTCACAAAAAACCGTACGAAATAAATCTGATAATGAAATATACTCCGTTTTCAAGCATGATGAGCATAGCATTATAGACAATTTTGGGTAGGTTTGGGTCTGAGTGTCAATGAATATTAGCTTGATTGAGACCTAAAATTTGACTTAACTTAATGTTTAAGATAATCTTTAGTTGTATGTAATAAAAACTGAGTAACTTCATTTTGAAGAATATGATTTCATAGAATCTATTGATATAAAGCAAGACAATGTTAACGTGCATTACTATTAGCATCTTGGTAATTAATAATAGCATGATGTTCAATTGATAAACGAGAACAATCAGTAGCATCATATCAAGATGCAAAATGAATTTGGACAAGAAGTCATCAACAAATATCTTAAATGTAATCTATTTTCACTTGAGGGCTATAATTTTGTAGTGAATGAAAGGACATTTTTAACTAATCAATTGTAAAATTTCTTATGATCATATTCTGAAGTGAATTCGATCAATGATTCCATTGTCCAGTGAGGTTGATAAGGTTTCCTTGTCAATGTGTCTCAGGCTGAGACGAAGAAGGACGTTACAAATGAGAAAACCTCTACAAGTCTCAAGTCAATCTATCATTGATAAAATGTTTATTTGAAGAGTACTAATTAGGAATAGAAAAATTTAGAATGGTTCGAATTTCAAGGTTTTCAATTTTGAAATTCTACTGAGACGTAGAAAATCGAAATTTGACTTTAAAAATCGCATGAATAAAGCTCCGAATGAGTTTAGCGCATCGGATAACTTCTAACTTTTCTATTATCTCCCACGCTGAGATAAACATCGTCTTGGCCAACAAATAATTTGATACTTGGAGAGGTTTTCTCGTGAATTGTATACTTCTATATTTATACTTCAACTATTCTTTAAAATTATATTTCATAAAAGTCATACACAAATCTCAACGAAAACAAATTTCTTAAAAAACAGAAACAAAAGAGATTTTTTTAAAATTGATTTACTATAACTATCTCTTTTTTCTCGAAGGATCTACTCGATAAGAAACTAAACAACTGATGTCACTTTATTCGATTGAAATTAACTAACTAAATAATATAATTTAAAAGTTAATCATATTAACAGAATTTTTTCAAAAAAACATTTATAACAAAAGTCTTTGCATTTCGTCTTGAACTCATCACTTCGTTAATTCTAATACATCTGCACGAAACAAATTATTCTGATTGATTTATTAAGAATATTTGCTGTATTCTTATTATTTAATTCTTCATACCGAGTTGCTCTATGTAACGATGTTTCACCATTATCACCAAGAAGATTAACATGTAAGAATATAAAAACATATCAGCATATTAAATATCAATATAAAAATTCTTTAATGAGTTTTCGAGATAAATTCAAATGATTATATGGAATAGGGTGTGGGTGTGGTGTGGGTGTGGGTGTGTGGGTGTGGGTGTGGGTGTGTGGGTGTGGGTGTAGGTGGGTGTGTGGGTGTGGTGTGGGTGTGGGTGTGTGGGTGTGGTGTGGGTGTGGGTGTGTGGGTGTGGTGTGGGTGTGGGTGTGTGGGTGTGGGTATAACCATTCTGTGAACTCACACCTACACCCCACACCCACATATCCACACCCACACCCACACCCACACCCACACCACACCCCACCCACACCCACACCCACACCCACACCCACACCCACACTCCACCCACACCCACATCCACACCCCCACACCCACACCCACCCACACCCACATCCACACCCCACACCCACCCACACCCACCCACACCCACACCCTCCAAAATTTTCCATGAAAAAACTCTCTGAATCTAATGGATTTTATATCGATCGGTACTTCCAACATCGCTCTTCCCAATGGTGAAAACCGCAGGTATCTAACGGCTTTCGTTCTCGATAATTTGTTCTACAGTTTTCTCCATCTATTTCTGGCACCGACAATAGATCAATTTTGGACAATATAAAATAAATTTTTTCAAGTTTCAAATAATATTACATGTGATTGAGATAATGAATTAACCGTTCAAGTTAACATATTTGTTTCAAAGTCATAGAATTTCGATATCTAAATAGCATCCAAATTTTTCTTTCATATTGTGCTGAAATTATAAACCAACAGTGATTCATGCCAAATTTAGTTGATGTCTCGTTGAGTAGTAGAAATGTCGAAAGGAAAAATGTTGAAAGAAAAAAAATAGGGTAAAAATGTCGAAAGAAAAATGTCGAAAGGGAAAAACGTCGAAGGGAAAAATTTCGAAAGGGAAAAATGTCGAAGAATTCTAACACAAAAAGATGTAATAATGAAAAACAAAAGAAACAACGATGTCTCCCATAAATGCAACTCTAAATTCGAACAATGCATGTTTTCTTTTCTTATAATTCTACTAGTCGAGATTTTTCACCACTAGTAGTAAAGATGACCAATAAGTGACAGAGATTACATAAATAACTATATATGAAGTAAATTAATAGCTAAAGTGATAATAGTATGGCAACAAATACGGTATTTTCAAATGACGGAACTCAACCAAAACTGAGCATTTCATTTATTAAATCACAAAAAGGAAAAACTTTATTAGTAGCAAATGAATATAATTTCAAACTAAACAAAACAGCAACTACAACTTAATAATGGAAGTGTACATATAATGGTTGCTCTTCTAAAATTCATACAGATTTGAATGATAAATTTTTCTATTAACATATGTTAGTGTTAGCATAAAAAACAAAGAACGTCTTTTCTATTTCAAGATTTTCTAACAAGAATAATGAGCCATTTTCTTAATGTATTTTTTTCGACATTTGTCCCTTTCAGTGTTTTTCCTTTCGACATTTCTACTGCCAACCGATGTCTCTTACTAATTTACAAAAAGAATTATTCTATTCTATGTAAGAATACAAATCATCAGTCAATTTTTTTTTCTGCAACTGCAGACTTTTAAAATTGTATAAAACGCGAATGAATATTTGTCTAACTGTTTTATTTGTAAGATGAGCCAGTTTTCAATAATTTCAATTAGATATTATTTAAATCATATAAAAATCTTCTTATGTATCGATAAAATTAACAGGCATAGTTCAAATTGTTGTCGAAATTCAAGAAATCTACTTGAAATTCTATAAAAATGTATTTTTATTTAGATATAATTGAATTCCTTTGAGTAAGTGTAGGTTTAGTTCACAAATCATTGACTCATAAAAAATTGCACCTACACGTAACTGTGTTCGAGTTATAATTCATTGAGACCCTATCTCAAACCATACAGAGATTTTGAACATATCGAAATTCTGCTTTTGCAGAACTTTTTAGAGTTTCTCCGTCAAATCGTTCGTGTTGTATAGTGAAATATAGAAAATAATCTTTGTAAAGTCATATTTTGAAATCTCTCATAAATCTGGTAGACCATTGATCTAAGATTGACCGTCAAAGATCCAAATTTAAACTGCTTTTTTTTCTAGATACCTACCGCTTTTCTGTGGGGTTTGCATTGGTAATATTGTGGACTTGGGTTCCGATGACGGTGGTAATACACTGGGAGTTTTTGCTTGAAACATTCTGACATGGATTTGAGAGTTATTCAAACTTTTAATCCGTTTCCCTTCAACGAAAACAATACATACATTGTTATCTTATTTATTAGAGTTTATTCTAACATACCATCATATATTTCAATTGCTTTCTTTATCGACTCTTCTTTCTGAAATATGATCTTACTTCTACCATTCAGTCCGAACGGTTTATCTCTTTCTTTAAACAAATAAATAGACGGCTTTTTAGTTGATTCATCTATCTAAAATGGTAATCACGGAGTTAAAAAATTCATTTTCTAAATTTATTATTTCAATTACTTCAATTTTACCAACATTAGAAAATTCATCCTGAAGAGTACGGAACAGAAGTTCTTCGGAAATTGTCGTTGGTAAACCAGTTATAAATATTGAATTTTCCTGGGATGCTGCCGGTTGCGGAACTAAAATTTTTTCTATGCAGAGTAATTATAACAATCAAAAATATTCTGCAGCTCTATAAAGATACTTTTGAATTCTTTTAGTGCTTTTCTTTATTAGGATCTGATTATGGATCAAGTTTCTAGTTCTAGATGAATGACTCATTACAGACGTAAGCACATCAGATTATCGTTGCAATGGAATTAGTTGAAACGTTATCTCAGATTATACTAAAATTTTTCGGAAAATTTAATTCTACTTATAATAGAGCTGTCTAATTTTTCCATTAAATTGCTTTTGTCATCTAACAATTTAGTGATAATTATCCTGATAAAATCGTGTTCTAAATCTTGTCCAAGATCTAGAAGATTTTTTTATTGTTGTTACTACTAGTATTTATTGCTTATCTGAGAAAGAAGATGGAATTATTCTACAACTATGAGACAAGTGTGTTGAGTGAAATTTCTCTGATTTCCCATGAGATATTTGGTGCATAAACATACATCATTACAACTAACAGTTTTAATAGTCTTTCAAGCAAATAGAACAGATGAGGGGTGTAAATGTGAACGCATTTGAATGCTCTTGAAAACCACATTTACAAGCGATTTTCTGTTGTAAATATATATTACCTTCTCGTGGAATTTGTTTTGATGTTGCTAAAGATTGTGGCCCTTTCATTGCTTGTTTTGTTTTACGAATTCTTGCTCTTCCCATTTGAACCTTTATTTGACAATTATTTAAAATTGGTACTTGTTTTCCTGAAAGAGATATTACATTTATTATTTTCATAGTCATAGCAGCTCGTTCTAGGTTACCATTATATTTTTCGATTGCTTCGGACACTGATTTTTTGTTTTTGAATCGCACTGTTGCCGCTCCACTTAGCTGAGATCGATTCTCTTTTCGTTTATATAACTTGATGAGCGGTTTTTTTGTTCTTCTATGAGTCTAGCAACCAAACAATCAAACAAATATTCGCTTGTTATAGAATTTTCTTTTAAGTTACCTTAATATCGCCACTAGTAGAAAACACTTTCTTAACTGAATCAAACAATTTCTCTGCAGACATGTTAACAGGTAAACCAGTGATGAATATTTGATCTTCGATAGACATCCACGAAGCATCAAAACTAATATCACTAAATATGCTAGCTACATCATCTGAATCATCAGACTCATCAGATTGATCAGACTTCGGTTCATGATCTGACAAGAAATGAAAAGAAATAATTTAAATCAACAATTTACATTCATTTTTTTCTTTTGTAAAAATGATCTGTCGTTTGAGTAGAAAGCTCGGAATATATTTTCGAGAAATAATTCATGCACCGTTTCTCTTTATTAAAGGTACTCTAATATATTAGTCAATATTTATAGATACAGACGAATAAGTAGACTATCTTCAAACTAAACAATTTACTTTCGAATGCAGTACCTATGCTATTCAATATCGATATTGATTTAATGCTTTTAAACGGAATTCAAGTTCATGTAGTCAACCTTTCTTTGTTCAGAAACGCAAAGATATTTTTTCAAATCGTGCTGTACAAGATTAGGATGCAGCCAGAGCATTTTTTTGTGAGTGATCATGCGAACTTTGTTTAAAAACATCTTAGAATAGTTATCTATCAGAATGAAATTACTTTCATTTGTGTTGTTGTTCTCAGGAGATGCCAGCTCTGGTCGTACTAATTCGATTCTCTGAGCACCTTGTTTTGTCTTTGACTCTTCAGGTTGTGGCAATTCTGCCTTCTTATGGAAAGAACGAAGTTTTTCCAATAGCATATTGTATGATCGTGGTGCAACATCATCTTTGATAGTTCGTACATTCGTCAACCAGCCATGTTCAGTAACATCATCTAATGTTAATTTATATAAATTTCCATCGTCTACAATCTTGTTTTCTTTTAATGATAAAAATACATTTTCGCGGTAATGTTCCGATAATGCTCGAAATAATATTGATTGACTTTTCAATTGTTGACTCATGCAATTTTTACTGATATATTCAGAATATTTAGTAATTGATTTTAAACCATCATTGGTTATTGTGAACCATAGATCATCGAAAACATTCGTTTCCTTTAAACATTCATCGTCAATACCTTCAAAAAGAATTTGTAAAACAATTGATAATACTGGGCAATCCTTCATATATATGTTTCCATATTTAGATGTTCGAATCAGAACACATTCATATGCATTGTGATTCCCCATCTTTTCATATTGTTTGAGAAATAAAATAAACCACTCGTGAGATGCGCAATATTGCATTTCCCATGTTTTTCTTAAGCATTATTTTAATAAGATAATCAATTTACTATCACTATCACTCATTGCTTCGTTGTAGACTCTCGGTATAATATCATCTGTATATTTGACCAATGACTGTTGACCATTTTCCAATATATCATTAACAATTTGTTGTTTGTTTTCATGATGATTGAGTCTTAAGATTTCGATGATGCCGTCCGTTGTTTCTTTCAACAAATCATTATTAAAACTAGTATCATTCGATATTTGATTCATGGGATTGATTTACTGGTAATATATGTAAGGATACAACTACTAGTTTACTTGAATATATTTTCGAGAAATGATCGATAGTCTGATCTGAAACAAAATAAAATTTACTGATTGACATCTGTAAAAAAAGAACGGTTCGAACTCTAACGAGACGAAGCGCTTCACTGTGCTCTCTATTAGTGTTATGTTCCTGTCATAAAAATCTACTGAATATTGAGACGTGTTTGTACAGTATTGTAATAAGGTATATGGTTAAACTATTCCACAAAAATGTTGATGAAGAACGTTGTAAAAGAAATGTTGCATGTGGAAAAACGGCGTACTCACAGATTTCATGTAGTCCGTTGGTTCTAGCAGTACATGGAAACCATAGGAAAACGATATACTCATGTACCTTCTAGAGTGTAATTATATTTCTGAAATTCGGTCAGTCCACGTTATAGAAGTCAAGTACAAATGACAGGAAAAATCTATCAATGTTGTCTCAAATTGACTTATTCTCGTTGGACTCTGTACTTTGATGAGCTCCATATACCTCAGAAACACCAGAGTACATCGTTTCTCTCTAGAAATACTGAAATGCTTACGATTCAAACTTTGAATTCATCTTCCGCTTTCCTTGGATGTGACAAAAGATCATGTAACTCATCAAAGATCTGACAGATAACGTAAAGGCTGGATTCGATCATATCAACATGGAAAATCTTGAGACGAAGTTAGAACACTTACATTCTTATTATGGTTAAAAATGTGCTACTATGATAAAAGCTCGCTACTTGTTAAACCAACACTTTAAAGTATCAAATTTCATATTTCAGTGCTTAAGTATGCTGGCTATAGTGATAAGTTTCACGTGTGTCAAAAACAAATGAAGAACGATGAATTTTTACTTTTATTGTCTGCTTTCTTTCTCTTACCATCGAATTTCTTATCTTTTGTGCTTCTAGTAACCGGTTGAGTTTGAAGTAAAAAGTATACATCTATTTTTCATAGTCTTCATAGATTGCATGCAGAAATCCGACTACATCTGGGACTTTATTCTCAATTCGAAAATTTTTCTATTACCTACTCGGATTCAGAACAACTCTAAATTTTATTCTCGAAAAATGCGATCTCTACTATATCTAAATTTCTAACGAACACAGATCAATAAACAAAACAGACAATTTACAGCGATTCGAAATAACAGAATGGCCAAGAAATATTTGACTAAAAACGAGTTTCAGAAATTGGGTGTGGGTGTGGGTGTAATTCTGTATATCCACATCCACATCTCACACCCCACACCCCATCCACACACCCACACCCATACCCACACTCACACCCACACCCACCCACACCCACCCACACCCACACCCACACCCACCCCATCCTAGGGAATGCTTATAGTATCATAGGTGATGCTTGTGGCATTCTAGGGGATGTCTGAGGCATCCCAGACAATACCTGTCGATGTTAGATGATTCTGGTGGTATTCCAGACGTTGCATACTTGAATAGTTGAATAGTTAAATACTTGAATAGTTGAACTGATAGTTGAATACTTGAATTCAACTTTCAAGTTTGAGACTACTGTCTATCCTATATATTTCAACATTCCTTTCACATTGTGTTTCACAAAAAATTTTGAATATATGTTATAGACTTACAGTATTTTTTTCTTATTCGTTGTCACCATACTTCATATGCTACCATCCGTACAAAATTTTGATATCGTGTTCTTACTCTACATTATTGTGTTATACTCCATTTATCTGCATAGTTAGAAATAAACACTCAACAAATCTCTCTCACACTATTTGACTTACTATTAACACATGTTATGAATCCTTCAATTGTAACACACTTTTATTTACCATTATTTTACCAATTACAAGGTTTATGGATAGCTTCATCTAGTCTATACATAATTTGTAGAGTAATTCATATTGATCTTTTTGAACTTTCCGAAGAGAAACAGTTGTTGCTTTGACTATAATAAAAACAATAAAGAGTAGAAAGCAACTATTGTCTCATGCATTTTCACATGTTCCAGTTCCATAGTTTGCGATTAGTAAAACGTCTCTACCAGACAAACTATTACTCTAGCTGGATCCACTAGTAAACATAATGTGCTTGTCGGTCAAGCAATATCATCATTATTTTGTACGACTGCCTGCTTCTTGTTGTTTAACTTGTACAAATGTAAAATCAAATTAAATACAATGATTAGAAAACTCAAAATTTTCATTTCTAATATCTCTGGAATAATGAATGAATTCTAAAAGCAAATCAAGGATATTTAATAATCTATACGAACAACATATCCAGCTGACAAATAACATAAAAAAATCTTTATTTTTTGATATGAATCAAAACTCATTGCTTCTAAGTTGATCCTTTCCATTTAATTATCTTTCACTATCAAATTATTAAACAACTTAACAAGATTTTAATCATCAAATCTGAAAATAAAATGATTGAAGAGAAACACAATTCTTTCTTTATTATTCGTTCGAATCAAATATATAATAGGTATTTAATTATATAAATATTAATTCTTTTATATTAAGAAAAATCAATATTACTACCCATCTATTATTGTTCATCGTTACTATATATACAATTATCATAATCTCCGATTCTATAATACATCCATAATCATAGTTACAACAGTATATTGGAAGACTTTTTCTTAAAATGATTATCTATGATCGATGTTTCTCATATACTGAGACTTTCCCAACATGTTTCATATGGTACATCTACAGTTACCAACTGTAATCTCTATGCTGTAAACTACATAGGATGAGTGACAGCAAAAAAAACACGGTGGACATATTGCAAGGGTTCCACTCTCATATTGATTTTCGAATAAAATCTTCTTGAAAGAGAAGAACTTAGTCATCTTTCACTGTCTTCTGTTCTTATCCAGCATAAACATCATAGTTATTAAGTATTCTTCTTTCTTACCTGTATTTACATCTGATGCACTCATTGCATTCCTTTGATCTAGTCTTTTTAACTCATGCTCATCCAATATACGTCTAGCTCTACTCTGTCTGGATTTATGCAGTATAAATATTTATTCGATGTCTGTATTCCTTCTGCTTTTATTATTTGCCTATGCAACACTCGCCCTTCTGCTCTGAATGGTGAGTTATGCCTCTGATGACGATTCAAAAAAATCTGCTCTTAGACTCGGTACATGGAAAGAGTTCATGTTGTACAAACGATTCTTGTCTTGCATGCAGTGATTTCGACTTAAAATCATTGATTTTCTTTACAAATATAAAAGTATTTAAAAAAAAAATTTTTGAAACGACGAAGAAGGTAGACAAAGTCTAATAAATTGATTCTCAATTCGTCTATCTATCTACTTTTACAGATAGAATAACTACGTACCGTAATTATCATATATGATTTTGTTAGTTGTGTGATCTTCAAAGTATTAATTAAAAATCAATGGGCAGACATACACATTCATACATTGAATGAAAGAAATTTAAATGGAATATACGAGAAAAAAACAACATTACCACTTATATTCTTCAATGATGATGATACTTCGATCAATCAAATTATTGGAATTTGCTTCTGTATTTATACAGAAAATGTTTCATATCAAGGACATTTCTTACACACAAACAACGAGATGGAGATCGATCGAAAAGAGTGTATCTTTATGGGTGTGGGTGTCAGTGTTTTAATCTACGTTCATACCCACACCCACCCACCCACCCACACCCAGCACACACCGACATCTACACCCACACCCACGCCCCCACACCCACACCAGCACCTCACACACTACCCACACCCACACTCGGTCTCATCTTATTTCATTTTTGTTGAGATTGATTTCTTTTATTTTGAGCAAATATACGTGGGTTTATTTCTCATGGTCCCGCTTTTTCTCGGTTTTTTCACAGCTCTGACAAAAAAAATGATGTCGGATGTCGTCATCGCTCCTTTCAGTCGACAGAAAAAGGAAAAAATGAGTATTACATAGAAAAAGAAAAAAGATACTAACGATACGCTCTCTGGAGTATACATCGTCTTGGTTGGCATCTCACTTCACATCTTTTTTCTTAGGTACCCAATTAAATTTTTTCTTTACATTTTTCGCATTCTCTCGTCAAACATATTTTAACAAGTATCATTAAAAAAAAGAAAGAGAGCGAAAAAATGAAAAAGGCGGTGGAATGGCAAAAAGGGCAGATGAAACAGGAGAAAAGAAAAATGAAAGTAAATATTCTGCAGCTGTTGTCATTACTTACTCTCGTCCAAGGTGAGTAGACAGAAAGAGAGAGTACGTAGTTATATGATCTTTTATTAATAGCATCGTCTTAGTTGCAAAATCCGCCCTGCTGATGCGGATTGACTAATGCTTTCAAGACTTTCAGGTATCGTCTTTCTCTCATCACCGCATATCTCAGACAGAGAACTTGTTGCTTTCCCGGAAAATTCTTAGAAATCAAACTTTTTTAAGACTGAACTATATCCATTTGTAGCTTCTTCGTCCAAAGCAGGTTTAACGCCGAAACATTTGGTTGTAAGTTTACTAAATGCTGCCCAGTACCTTTCACCGACAATCGTTTGTACTCAATAGAGTACGGGCAAATCCGAACGTTTCTACATTTATTTTAT